GAACACAATGAGACCATCCACGCGTCTGTATCTTGTTCCTGTACGGAGTTATTGGCCAAAAACCTTTGGTGACCTTTGATGACGTCACATGACCTCACAGCTGCCCAACAGCAAAACAGACCTCAAGGTAGTGAAGGTTGATCGTATATGAAGTCATGTATGGTATATGGGGCCATTCCGACCCGTTTTAGTGGTAAAAACAGGGAGTTGATTTTTCCCCCATTGACTTATAATGGGGAGGTCGCGAAATTGACCTGACCTTAGGTCACCGATATCAAAATTCCGAGATATACAAATTGCACATACTGGTACCCTAACTAAAGCCTGAAGAGAAGAAATTGATCGGTCAAAAACTCTAGCTCTGGCGTGATTGCAAACTTTTCTGAGGTAGGGTCACCAAACCGCCTCTGGTGACCTGACCTGAGGTCAGATCAACTCAAAATTTTCAGACATGTTGTGTAGAAGCCTTATAGGAAAAGTCAGAAAATTTGAGCTTCCTAGCTCAACGCGTTTGGGAGAAATAACCAAAAAACCTCAGGGGGGGGGGGGCTCCTGAGGCCCCCCCCCCCCCCCGCCAGGAATAGGGTTAAAGTCACGCCTGTAATGCGATCTTCGCTTCAGCGCAGCTAAACTCTGGACAAACCACGTCCGGCACCAGCCCATAATCTCAGTCGGAACTCGGACCAGACACGCTAGCGCCACAGACGCCTATGTAGTCGACACTCGAGCCCAACCGCGGCAGCAGCACAGTGATAACTTTCGTCTGCTCTAACCATAATAATAGTACCCAAGCCACAATTGTGAGCCGTCTCGTGTCCAGATCCTGCCGAGGACGAGAACGACGGCCGCTGCCGCCCATTGAGGAGCGCTGAGTTTCACCTCGAGGGGCTGCGGCCGCCAGTGTTGATTGCACTCTCGTGATGGTGTCGACTGTCTATGTATGCATTGGTGGTGAAGTTCCTCATTCATTCTCAGGCCATGGCAAAGCCCGGTCCAAGTACCCGTAACCAGACCGTGGTCCCGGTCCTGAATGTCCACCTAGCAGACCTTCCTCCAGCTCCATTGGTCTCTTACACTGGCGGATCTGCAGGGAGGGGGCATTTAGGGCTATGCCCCCTCAAAGGCCTAAAGTGGCCTGTTTGCCCCCCCCCCCCCAAACGATAATGAAACATAGTTCAATCAGTGCGTGACCCAGCAGCCAAGTTAAACAGGGGGTGTTTTACCACCTCCCGGCCCTCAAAGGTTGCGCCAAGCACCGACCCGGAGCGGGTTAACTGGTCGATAAAAGCAATGTGAAGTGTTTACAAAGTGATATAAAGGCATGGGTCGGGTGGGTTACCATTTCTATATTTTTTCTTTTTAGTTAAAAAATGTTCATCGTGTCAGGGCTGTGACGAAAAATAAGTGGCCTAAATCCGATGAGAAAATAGGATTTGGGGGCACACTAGGTTTGGCTCCTGCATGAGTTGCCCCCCCCCCCCAAAAAAAAAACGCAAATCTGGATCCGCTAGTCTTCCTCGCACGCAGCAGCGATGTTCTCCGATGATTCCTGAAGCAGAGGAATGCTGCTAGCGCAGAAGAGAGTCGCAGAAGCGTGTCGGCCATGACGGCCGATATCAATGTCAGCCGTGCGAAGTCAAGGCTCGACCTCCCACTTATCCGGACAAAAAATTGGAATGGAGTGCGCTCAAGAGCAAGACAGAAACGTAGAAAACGCGGCATATCATGTGTGTTGGCATTCTTACTGCATTTTACCTAGTCAGCAACATGGATATTAGCTTTTAGCATAACCTACTGTCAGCAGGATGAGTATCACTCAGGTAGCAATTTTTGGATATGTTGCGCTAGGAAAGTGTCTTTAGTAAATGTTTATGCAACAAATGTATTGGTTCGTTGAAAGATCGCAAGCTGAAGCGAGAACGCATTTATACGGTTTACGTGAAAATAACACCGAAGAAAGCCTACGGAGACTGCAACGCCAGAAATTGTCAGGAAAGGGTTACGATAGACGAGGTGCGCTGGTTCTTAACATTAAATGAATTTTTTTAAATCATCATTTCATGTCATAATAAGGCTAGATGCATGTGGTTTTTGCTATAGGAAGTGAATTAATTTTTTTGACCCCACTTTCGAGACACCCACTGTGGGTGTGGGTGTGGGTGTGGGTGTGGGAGGAGGCTGGGCACAGTGGGGAGGCAATCGCACGGCTGATTATGGCGATATTTGTAGAGATTTTGGAGTGAAGGGCAGCAGATACAAGAAGAATTAATCACTATTCTACTCGTATCTAGTTAGGTGCATGCACTGTTGGGAAAAGTTTTGAAGAAAAGAATGAAAATACAGTAGCTCAGCTAGGCTCCCGTTGAGAGCTTAGGTAGCGAAAAGATTCAAGCTCTAATCGTAATATTCAATTAAATTAAACGCAAATTGAAATCTTACTTGAAAAGACTATCAGACAACAGTGCAAAATGTCCGAATATTGATATTGCAATATCTATCCTGCATGTGCTCAGAAAGCAGACGGGTGGAGGTAACACCCATCAGTTCCCAAAGCTCCCGATGCTGGCAGCCACCGGAACTGATGCGGGACACCCCCGGTGGGCGTGGCCTCCGACGCCGGGAGGCGGTGCAACAAAAGACCAATAGTGCCGTCCTGGGCAGTGAGGGCCGGCCCGGTATGGCACGGGCCGGGCCTGAACAAACAGCAGCGCCCGTCGGCCGCGGCAGCGCCGCGCCTTTACGAGAGGCGACAATGGATGAGCAAACATCGCTCACCGCCCGGTACAGGGACGGTGGACGGTGGACGGTGGACGGTGGACGGTGGACGGTGGACGGTGGACGGTGGACGGTGGACGGTGGACGGTGGACGGTGGACGGTGGACGGTGGACGGTGGACGGTGGACGGTGGACGGTGGACGGTGGATGGTGGACGGTGGACGGTGGGCGTCGGACGGCGAATGGTGGACGGTGGACGGCAGTGCAGCCGTAACACACACCTCGGTAAATCCCCCTGTCCACATGCGCACACCGCCCGGGCCGTATGCTGCTGTGGTATTACCCCCACTGACCTCAGCTGGGGTAAGACCCGTCACTACCGCCGGGTCCATCGGACGGACCTAACACACTGCCGTCCATCTCTGCAGGTAGTATCCAAACAGACATTGCGGTCCATCTCGGCAGGTGACATCATAGGTGCTGGCTATGTGAGGTCACCCATGACGGAATCATCAGGTGGTAGCCAGTCGCACACCCTATCCAAAGACAGCCTTTCCGGCCAACTGTTTTGTTAGAGCTTTGTGCAACAGCTTTGCAACTGCTTTGTTATAACAGATGTCTTTAGATGCAGTAGCTGTAATGATCTGCTGAAGATTTTGCGTCAGTTGTTCAGCTGGTGTAACTGGCTTATCTTGTAGGTGCGTCATTTCTGTTCAATCCACAACTGTCCATAATCATTCGTGGAACTAGCTATACGTATAGCAGCTTTCATAGACATGTGTATAAGGCTGGTCCTGACGAGACATGCGCCTGAAATCTGAAAAAACGAGCAGTCTATTGCAGCAGTCTATATCCCTTGTCAGTTGTCACCAAGCTCGTCTCCACTCCCTGATCAATCTAGGACAACACACAGTTCACCAGTTGCCGTTCCTTTACACCAACTTCATTACTGTGATGACGCCTGTAAACCATCCCTCCACCTGAATCCTTCCCACGTCTGCGCCAGCTGGTCCATTAACCCGGCAATGGTGCTCCAATATCCACCTCGGCGGTGTGTTGGATCCGCCACCGCTGCTCCATTACCTAGTCCATTAACCCGTGTAATGGTAACCAGCGGCCGCAGCTGGGACGTGCGCCTGCCCGCGGGACAGGGCTTAGGGACTGCCTGAGGGGCCAGGTGGGACAGAGTGGGACACTGAGATGCGCCTGCCCGCGGGACGGGGCTTAGAGACTTCCCGAGGGGCCAGGTGGGACAGGGTGGGACACTGAGATCACAGTGTGGTGGTTGTGGAGTCGTGACTCGTGAACGCTATGAAAAGGGTCGATGTGACCGCAGCCGGCAGATTTCGAGTGGTAAGAACTGTTTCATCAAAAGAAATGGCCAATTCCAAATGCCAAATAGGCCACTTCAATATAAGGAAGGAGCCGAGCATCGGGCACGTTGCAAGGAATGCATTGACAGCACTTGGAAACTGTTCAAAACAATTATGAAAGTGATGCAGTCATTTGGCGGGTATGTTATTGGTGCCCTCACCAGACATCGCAAACCAAACCTAAACCAATGACATAAACGATGTATCAACTCTCAGCTTTTAACTTGCATTGTGCAAATAAAATGTGTAGCAATTTTACAAGTATTTCTTAGTTGTGTAGGTAAACTTGAGATCAGGCCAGGGGCAGCTTTGCCGGATGGTGGCTAGGACGATAAATTAGGAACTGCAAGGGCCTGGGGTCACTGGAAAACCCATGGCTTGATTTATGAATATGAACACTCATGGTCGTTCTGTGGGTATGTATTCCAACTGCCGACAGTAAAAGTTAGCCGATGATACCTTCACCGTAGAGGCGGTGGTCGGGTCTGTTCAATTAATCCCAAATGGCGCCTAATTGTCCACAAGGGACGCACACCAAGTTTACATTACAGCATACCCGCGCGCCCGGACAATGGTCGCTATTGTTCGGCGGGTCAGCTGTGCCCGCGGGCTGCAGTGAGGGTTTCCAATGGTTTTACAGCAGCCGAAGTGGCTGTGTGGTCAGCACTGCGTGTGGATAGTGAAACAAGCCAATACACTGGCTAGGACGTGCCACACACGCCGGAGAGTTTGGCACGCCTCAAGCCGCCTCTGACCCACGACCTGACTTACGCCACACCTCAATGCACGCATGTCACGGACGTCGGGGAAATACGAACACATATAACAAAGATCAGGCGCAAATTTAGCAGGATCCAGGATCCAGCTAAAAAAAATAATTCCTAATAATGAACACGCAGCTCATACACTTACCATTCTCCGTTGGTGCAGCTCCGACCGTTGAGCCTCGGCCTCGTCCGCCCTTCCTCAGGGGGGAGCCCTGGGGAGGGGGCTGCGGCAGCCGGCTGGGGTACGGCTGAAACCGATCTGGGGAGGGGGAGGGGAAGGTGACCGGTCAGAACGAGACACAGCTCTCTCATGGAGCCACCGGGTCACAGAAACAGCAAAATAAATGGGAGTTCCTAGAATATAGCGCACAATACACGAAATGTGACGAAATGCAATGCGAAACGAGTGGTAATACAACCTAGAAGAGCATGTCGACTCAAAGTTTATCAATAAATGAGTGCCTAGCCGATATAACTAACTGAAGTGATGAAGGACAGTCGACACTACCTAATTCAACGTCAGTTCAGGAGGTATTGGATGGCTCGACTCTTACTTTGGGCCATATGTGCTCCCTGCTCAGTGTTCAGCTGCTGCTGCTGCTGCTGCAGTTGATGTTGTTGCTGCTGTTGTTGTTGCTGCTGGTGGTGATGCTGCTGCTGCTCCCCGTTGAGCATCTGCCCAGTCTGAGCCATGCTCAGCTCAAACGCGGCCAGAGCCGAGGCCGAACGGTTGAAAGCCCGCGCGAATGGATTATTCTCCACCTTCAGAGCGGTGACCTAATCGAGGGCGAAAAACGGGCGAAACGGAACAAAACTCAGTGAAAACGAAACAGATTGATACGAACAGAACAAAAAGAAAACTTAACGGAAGAACTGATATCAGTGCAGCTAACACGAGTAGAAAGCATGATAAACAAAAAAAAACTTAACATAAAAACAGCACATATAAGCGAAAAATACAAATAACTAAATTGAACCAGATCCTGCATGTCAGTTAAAGCAGATAGACATTGCACATCGCACACAGGCGGCGCCTCACCTTGTCGTTTTGGTAGGCGGTGACGGCCACGAAGCCGGTGACCCGGAGCCGGTGCGACATGACATTGACCGCCTCCAGGCCCTGGCCCGGGATGACGTTCACACGCACAATGTGCAGTCGGGGCTCGTACATATGCATCGAGTTGAGCGGCATCTGCGGCAGGCGATGGTGGGGCCGGGGTTAGAGCGAGGGTTAGATGGGAGTTAGAAGTGTGGCTAGATTTTAGAGGGAGGAGTTACCGTGGTATCTGCAACGCGAATGGTTAGATCATACGGCGGGACTAAAGCGAGTTGGGATAGATGTTGGGTTCTTAGAAATAGCAGCCAGAGGGTGGGAAATAAAGGGATGGGGTCAGATAGTTGCGAAGATATGGTATTTGTGTTTGTGCTAGATTCTTTATCTGCCGCCTAATACAAGTCATCTCTGTAGACTAGGTACTCTTCATTATTACATGGAATCCTAAATATCAATACCACAGGGATTTGTTAACAATATAGCTTATTGATGACAGATCTAAGAGAGCCGCCCTGTGCCATTTAATCCGAGTCTCGTGTCAAATGGGTGACACCGCGGGAAGGGGACCCGCTCATCCCCGTCCCCGTACCGTTATAGGGCGGTCAGTCCCGTGGTGTTTGGTTACCGTGGTCAGTGGTGGGCGCAACAGACGATAGCATACGGTATATGGGCGGCGGCACACTACCAGCCAAATCGATCAGCTTACGCTGGTATCCGCCATCAGTTAGTTATTAGTTACTAGTTAGTTAGTTATTAGTTACTCGTTAGAGCAGTTATTATCCTTCAGTGCGTTCCGCCTTTCCACCCAATGTTTCACTAAAATGTCGCACCCCTCTCTCCTTCAGACTCATACCTTCACACACGGCACACATTTCCCCAAACTGACGATCTTTCACCCCCGTAGTTCGCTCGCTGGCAACGCCTCTGCGCGGGTCAGAAGATCAAAAGCGCCGCCGCGGCGGCTCCCGTGTCCGGATCACACCCCATAAACACCCATCGAGGAGCGATCGGGGAGGGGGGGAGGAGGACCGCGCAGTGATCGGGGCCCCATATGGCCCGTCAGAGTGTGCCGGGAATACACACACCTGGACAGACGCGGTCAGCCCCGTCCGGTCATTGGGAAAACAGGTGGCCAGGGGCAGCGGACGAGGGGACCGATCACAGCATTGACGAAAGGCAGGTATAAGAGAGGGAGAACTGCATACTTAGAAATGAGGACACCAGACCCAGTGGCCGTTGATTTGTATTTGCTTAGTTCTTCTTTCATACAGTTACTGCGCAAAGCTAATTCATCTTTTTCGTAGAAGTACCAAAGCGCAAAGCGCACCGCTTCACAAATGCACGTATCTCCAAAGAAAGCTCATAAAACTATATCCCGACTGTAAAACATACAGAGACCGCAAAAAGACCCGATTCGCAGAGCCATCGCTGCTGTCAATATCAAGCACACACAAATTCTGTGTACCGACCCGAATAGCGTGCCATAATAGCTTTCGGCTTCCTAGAGCAGTGAGAGGCACCAGACTGTGTAGAGCAGACTGTGTCTTGAATCTGAGTGACCTGAGTGACCGGTAGTGAAGAGTGATCTGAGTGACCTGAGCGACCAATTGCGCCTAAAGTCAAGCTAATATCGGTAGCGATTATGACTGGAGTGACCTGAGTAGCCGGTAGCGACTATGACATGGTTGACCTGAACGGTTTCGCCTAAAGTCAAGCTACCGGTAGCGACTGTAACTGGAGTGACTTGAGTGACCGGGGGTGAAGAATGATCTGAGTGACCGACACCACCTGTAAGTCGAGTGGCAGTGGCGCGGTGGTGGCGAGCGTCTAACTCCCAGAAACCAAGTGCCGTGTATGCCCAGTGATTGGTGCCGAGTGACGTCCAGTAAACGGTGACCAGTGACGCTTGCCGCCCAGTTACGTTTGCCGCCAAGTGACCGGTGCCGTCTGCCGCCCACTGACAGTTTGACGCCCGGTGGCCATGTTCAACTGCAGGTCACGACCCGAGCCACTGTGCGCTCTGGCCTCTGGGTCGTGTTCAACTGCAGGTCACGACCCGAGCCACTGTGCGCTCTCGGCCGAGCAGCAGCGCCGACAGGTAACGACTGCCGGCGGCCGCGGCCGATGGCTTTATTGCAGGCCGCTCGGCCAGTAATGGCCCGTTACAGGCCGGTAATGGCCTGCTACGACCGGCCGCAGAGGCGCGCGGAATACGGCAGCGGCGCTGTGACGTCATCGGTAGGAATGTGACGTCACTGGTCGACGGTGACTGGTGGTGCTCCAAAGAGGGGAGCGAGAAGCACTACCAAAAGATTCCGAGAGCCAGACTGGTGTTCAAAGCCTGATAGGTTTTCCTAAGTCTGATTGGTGTCACGACGATCTCCTCTAGTAAATTTAATCAAGTATATATTTAATATATTTAATATAGTCATATATTAGCCATATATTTAATCAAGTCACTCCGTAAATTTGGAACAGCTTTGTTTGGGCGAGACATTTCTGGTATCGACATAACACACCAAACAAAAAACTGCACTTCGCCCGTGCCAATAAATTGCAAAACGCTCATGGAGAGGAGAGGAGAGGAGAGGAGAATAGAGGAGAGGACAGGGGACGTTACGGGGTCGACTAAACATAGCACACGGCCCCGCGCCTAAGGCCAGCGCAGATCATCACGCTATGGGGCATGGAGCTAACTTTGACATACGGCAGGACGGAAGAGGGTGAGTGCAGTGCGAGGTCTTGTATTTTCTGGAGAGAGGAGGGGACTGGGTCGGCTGAAAGGTCAGGTCAGCCGGAGAATAGGTCAGAAGGTGGCGACGGCCCGACAGCTGCGGGGAACACGGGACACTGAGAGGAGAAAATGGGGCCAATGATGGCTGAAACAAAATACCGAGAGAGAGAGAGAGAGAGAGAGAGAGAGAGAGAGAGAGAGAGAGAGAGAGAGAGAGAGAGGGAGAGAGAGAGAGAGAGAGAGAGAGAGAGAGAGAGAGAGAGAGGGAGAGGGAGAGAGAGAGAGATGCTACTTGGGCCGATCGATATGCTGATCGGAGCTGAACTCAAAGAATGGCTAAACCATACCATCGGCTGACCAAACCGAAGCCTAGTTGTTTTAACCAGGCACCTCTGGCTGGATCGTTTGTTACGCTCCCATTGGAGTCGACCAAATTGGAAGATGCTTCCAGTTCCATCCCCTCCTCTTCCCGTCTCCTCCCCACGGCCGACATAGCTCACCTCTGGTCTGTTCCCAGTGAGGTCACCAATGACCACTTTCTGCCGCCTTCTCGGGCCTTTAATTCGACATTGTCCCTCTCTCGGCGCCTGTTTAAAAGGCGCGCCTTTATGACCCAGTCGGCGCGGGAGCCAGGCCCATCTCATCCACACAGCTGTAAACCACATCAAACGCTGCCGCACAGATACCGATAAATCAGCTGTAGATTTTTTATGACACGGGAATCCGCGCCGGCGCGGATTAAAAACAATAAAAGCCAGTGCGCCCATTTGGCCGGCTGATGCACGGTGTCATACTCGGCGCATTAGTGCGCCGTGTTTGTGTTCGCGGCGGTGGCGGCGCGATCAAAGTGGCGCGGCCGCCGTTCCCGCCCACAATGGTCCATAAAGGTGGCCAGCCCGCCGCCGCCGCCGCCGCCGCCGCCACCAGACGCCGCGCCGCCCCTCTCTCCTCTGCTCCGGCCCTCTGCTCGCCGGCTGCCGTATCGGCTTCAGAGGTACCGACGGCGGAGGTGGGGGCGGCGGGGGCGGGGGCGGCGGAAGTCAGCAATGGATCCGGCCGCGCGATAGAGACCTGCACCTGCCCCCGCCGCCGCCGCCGCCGCCACCGTCGCTTCCGTGGACGTACCAGGGAGCGCAGGCAATCGGCGATTGGATTGAACAGCGCCCGAACGAGGCCAAGTCAAACACCGCCGGCTGTATATCAAACACAAACGCAGGCCGATTGAACAAACAGAAACCGAAGTGCTGGACATGGCCGTTGGGCTCGGGGTCAAGCCATGAAAAGGTTACCGATGCTTGGAACATGCAAAAGGAAAATTAGGCAAGCGACGGAACTGAACTCTATTCGTATAATATATATTCACCTAAACCTACTAAGATGTTATGACTGTTTTGCTTGGTTTTAATTCAGCAATAGAACTAGGAAAATTTAACTGTTATTTTCACATCCTCATGAAAATGTAACTGCTGTTCTATCGATGTTTTTTTTTTTGTTTTTTTTTTCGGTTGAACGGTTTATTTTCGTGCCACACTGCAACATACATTGTTCCTCTCCAATGCGCAACAACACAACAAAGACGCCAAACACAGAACAATGACCCGTATCCTTCCATATTGGCGCTCTGACCTACCCAATGGACGACACAGGCGAACACTATATAAACAAGAAAACAAAACAAAAAGCGAGCATTTGGTATGAAGCTTTTTTTCACTGTTGCACCAAAATCAATAGGTAGGTATTGTTTGAAGGTTGAGCTGCTGTTCTATCGATGTTGATGTTCTGGTGTGGGTAGGTAAAAATGCCGGCTCCCTCTTACCCGAGAGAACCGTTACTGAATACAAAAATTGATGCAAACCCTGACGTTTTGTTCCCCCCAGTTCTCCACTGGAACGCTGCTCCTCCCCCCCCCCCTCCCCGCCCGGCGGCGGCTGGACCGCCCCCTCGGCGGCTGTGACCAATCAGGAGCGCCCGTTCCAGGCGGCGGCCGAACCACAATGGCCGCCGCGCCGCGCCCGCGCCCACAGTTTACACAGCGTTCCACCGCGCCGTAGACACAGGGCTGTGGTGGCGGCGGCGGGACACGGTCAGACACAACGAACGGATGTTTGCAGAGGTGTGTCATCGAACAGCTTATGGGAGGAAGGCCCATGTTTTTTCTGCGGCTATAGATTCTGCGAGCTGGTTAGAATATCAAGTAGGAAGACTTTCAGCAGCCATGTCACCTCAGCAGCCGGGGGCCAAGCGCACACCTACATGCTCATAAACATTGGTTGCCTTTACTGAATTTAAGACTGTCTTATCTGTTCATTTAACCGTTTAATTTTTGTTCTAATATTATTCAAATACTCAAATAGAGCAGCTCGTAAACAAATAAAACAAACGTTTGAACGCACTGCGTTCGTCGTAGTGCTTAGCAAAGCGTGCAAACTTTGTCATTTTGTTAGCATTGGTCTAGTAGTTACCAACGTAAGCAGCCCAAAAAAGCATGAGCATTCACACATAAGCTGCTCCGATGACACCAAAGCAAACATGTCGGAGTGTTTAGATCCCCATTCAACACTGCTGCAATCCCCGGATAGCTCAGTGGCTGACGCCATCTTTGAACACGGCACCTACCTACCGATCATAAGCTCTCCAGCAACCTCAAAACATCCCCGAGAGCCACCGCAATTTCCAGCGACCTTTGCGACTCTTGTGATGAAGTCCATCCCGGCTCTCAAGATGGAGAGGAAAGTAACCGAGGAAAGTGAACGCTGCCGATTGCCGAACGGTTACGGGAACAGCGACACATGGCTTCCACGGTCCACCACTCACCATGCTCGGCCCAGCCGTCTTGTCGTTGGTGATTTTCACGTCGTCGAAGCAGATGGCCTCCGACATCCAGTAGGCGCCCATCTGGTAGGACTTGGGGTGCACGTAGACGGCGGTGGGAGGCGGGTCGGCACGGGCAGTGGACGTCTGTTTCCAGTCGCCGTGGATGTACCGGAACCTGTCGGAAAATGGGAATGGTATAACACGAGCTGGCCGGACAACGGCATAATGTGACGAGCTGCCGGATAACGGCACAACATAACAGACCAGGCGGACAGCGGAACAGGCAAAACGAGTCTGGTGGACAACAGGCAAAGCATAGCAGACCTTCGGATAGCGAAATAGCATAACGGATCTGACGGACAGCGATAAAGGCATAACGAGCCTGCCATAAAGAGGGACGGCGTAACGTAACGAGCCTGCCGGACAACGGAGCTGTATAACGATCGTGCTGTCGTACAGATCGGCGCTACGTGAGCGTGCCATGTAATGGCGATGCCATGATCTGCTTTATGTCTTTTGATATTTGAGCGCAAATGGCGCGACACAGGTAACATTGTATAGATGAATCATGAATGAGAGAAAAATATTTCGGCCACTTACTTGATGTCGTGAACTTGCACAAACTCCAGACACATGGCGTACAGACAGGTCTTTTCCAGGCCCGACACCCGCAGTCGGATCGTGGGGAACATCTTCCTGCGAACCAGAGATCCGGTCAGTAGCTGCCAGTCACTGGAAGCCAGAAGTTATCAGAACGGTAAATCACCGGTCACCTCCGATCAGAGACTAACAGTCAGCAAAAGATCTGAAGCTCCGGCACTCGGCAGTTCGAGCTTTTCGTAGATGAAACAGAGAAATTAGGCAGTTGTTAAATGTCTAAACAAATCTTCCACTAAAACAACAAAAATAATAAAAGGGAAATGTAAATAAAGATTGATAGCTTGTAAAAGAACTGCCCATGTAAAACCATAAAGCCCCTTGCTCACAAATTGAAAAGATGATGATGCATTTCATTAGACAAAAAATTAACATGTTCCAACATTTTTCCTTAGGCAGCTGGTGACAAACGGAAAAAGGGTGCTCCTGCACTCGATACAAGGGGCTTATGGCGGGGATCATCTGAGCTTGGGGATACTTGCTGAACTTATCCATAACCAGGTGAATGCAGTGAGAAAGGCCGGATGGATATGCTTCCAGCTTAGTGTAAGGCGACAGGCCGCCTCAATTTGTTTTGTTGCGACAGGCTGCCTCAATTTGACTTCATACTTCTACGATAAGCTAAGTTATTTCAATGTTTTTTTTTTGTCTTTACCCCGGAATACTTGCCAGTAGTCGGGATAAATGTTACCCCGCGCATGACTGGGGGGGGGGGGGGTCTACAGAGCCACCCTCTCGTTTTTCGGCAGTATCTTCCAAACCGTTTAACTTATCGACACGAATCTTACGGTACCTTCGGCAGCATTAATTTGACACACCTTGTGTCAAAATTTCAACATTCTAGCTACCATAGGTGGGCCGAAAATGGCGTCAGAGTGACGACATATTGGTCGATTTTTATGCAAAACATTGAACTACGGCAATCGCTCTGAAGGCTTCAGTTTTTAAGCTATATCTTTTTCTTTGCATGAGTGGACTTTAAATAAACGTAGCTGTTACATTGTTATCTCGGATTTTCAAAATAAGAAAATTTTGAAAAACGGTACAGTAAAAAATATATTTTCTGATTTTTTTTTTTGCGTGTGTGTGTGTGCTTTTTTAATGGAATATATATAATTGAACACCCGTCGATGAACTTCTCTAGAAATTTTCCATCCCCACATCTTCAAAAATGGCGGCGGCCAGTGCCTAAAATGTGAACAAGCCAAAATGCTGATAATTATTACTTTAATCAGACCAGTGACATTTAAGGTCATCGGTGACCTCGAGGTCAATGAAATTGGGTTTCGCGCGACAGTTTTTCCATCGCTATCAGACGCCGTTTGAATTAGGACGATCAGCTCAGTAGCTTTGGAGATAGGACGGGGAGGGGGATCTGTAAAGCCCCCTCCCCTGCAGTCACTCGCGTTATAACCCGCGCACCGACGGGGGGGCGGATATCCGCCCCCCCCCCCTGAGGTTTTTCGCGAATAGCGGGAAAACCGCGGCGCGTAGCGCCGCGAAATTTGGTATGACTATTCCCTCATCGATTTTACACATGGTGTGCAAGTTTGAACCTCCTACCTTTCAAGGTCAGGTCACCAGGTCACTTTGAATGACCCAACCTCAAGTCACTTTTTTGCAACTTTGTCACCGTGCCAGAGCTACAGTAGATGTCGGAGGCCTTTGAAAGTCGCAGGATGTTATTAGGTCATTAGTAGCTACAATTTGCATATCTCGGAATTTTGATATCGCTGACCTAAGGTCAGGTCAATTTCGCGACCTCCCCATTATAAGTCAATGGGGGAAAATCAACTCCCTGTTTTTACCACTAAAACGGGTCGGAATGGCCCCATATACCATACATGACTTCATATACGATCAACCTTCACTACCTTGAGGTCTGTTTTGCTGTTGGGCAGCTGTGAGGTCATGTGACGTCATCAAAGGTCACCAAAGGTTTTTGGCCAATAACTCCGTACAGGAACAAGATACAGACGCGTGGATGGTCTCATTGTGTTCAGCTCGTCAAGACGCATCGAATGATATACATGATGACCTCGAGGTCACGTGACCTGAGGTCAGCCTTTGACCTTGACCTTTCGAGGTCAACATGAATACTATTCGATGCGGATTGACGACAGGATCACGATGATGCCCTTAGTTTGTTCCTATCTTGACTAATTCGAAAGTTATTCGAGAAAAACTCTCTCCATATCTAGCGCCCCATTTGGACTTTTTCGACCCCTGTGACGTCATCTTTGACCTGACCTGAAAATGACCTTAGTAAAAATTGTAGATCATGACCGTGCGTATCCGATGCCGTTTACCGCTTGTCGCTATCTTGCTTCGTTCTCGAGATCTCAGGGGGGCGGTCATCCGCCCCCCCCCCCCGTCGGTGCGAAGTTGGCGCACACACACAGAAATATTGAGCGATGTCAAGTTCAATATACTCGTAAATAGTTCAAATAGCTTCAAAGCTCTGCTTCACGTAGTAAAATATCTTTAGTTTAAGTATTTACGTGATAAACAAGCAAGGTATCCGTCGCACAACGCCATAAATATTTAGGCGTGCATATTTCGAATAAATGTACCTGGCAAAATCATGTACAACATGTCACTGGTAAAGCGAATCAGATGCTACGATTTATTAAGCGAAATTTCAAGGATTGCCCACAAGCTGTAAAGGAAATCATGTATTTGTCCCTTGTTAGGACACATCTAGACTATGCCAGCTCTGTTTGGGACCCATGGGGAGAGGGTATGAAGCATGAGCTGGAAATGGTTCAAAGGCGCGCTGCTAGATTTATACTTAATGACTACGACCGACATAGCAGTGTTACTGACATGCTGGCCACAATAGGATGGGTATCCCTAGAAAGCCGACGTAGAGAGGCGAGATTATGCTTACTGTACAAATTACACCATGGCAACATGAAAGTAGATGTTAGTAGAATTATATGTGAACCTAGCTATATATCACGGAGTGATCACCCTAAAAAGATAGAGAGACTTCCGTCGAGATTACTTCAGTACCATAACTCGTTTTTCCCAAAAACCATAAGAGAGTGGAACCAACTTTTGCCCAGCATGATGGAAGCCGAATCTGTGGAAGATTTTCGGAAAAACGTTCAAACACATGTAAATTCGGCGTAAACGTGATTGTAATTGAAATTGCTCATGAGTAATGCAGAATGAATCAATCTAAAATCAGTAGTAATGTGAGTAGGTATGTACTTGTGTGTATGTACTTGTGTGTATGTGCGATACTGATGTGTGCATGATGTGTGAACCAGATTTAACATCACCAGGGCCAACCGGCATTCGTGATTGTTGTAATACATGATACATGATACATAATAAGTAAAGGCATCAAGAATAAGTTTGTTTTTATACGACGTTTATTGGTTAACTAACAAACATCGGCAGTTTTATTACACCACACAAGCATCTTTACGCAAAACAGGATAATGTAACAGCATAACAGATGTTCAAATACCTAACTGATATGTTTTCATGCAAAGCAAGTGTATCCATAAGCGAATGAGTGTTGTGTCACACTGGTAATTGCGGTACACATCCAGAGCACCGTTCGTTTACGTCAACCCGTGTAAATTTAGCGAAATTTTGAGCTAAATGCTGACGGCGGCGGCGCCATTTTCGCAATCTGTCAGTTGTGCGCCGGGGACCGCGGGGGCCGGCGGGAGAGTGTTGTGGCTGCAGTGCGCAGAGTGAGTTTGCCCATTCTTGTGACATCAGTGAGATAAAACAGTGCTGTGGTGTTTATCTAGTTGGATAATAAGCTGAGTAATGAGTGAATAAGTGAATAATAAGTGAAATACTGCATTGTGGTCATCGTCTGATAACTGCAATCAAGACCGAGTCGGAAATCTGAAGCGGAGCGACATTGGAGGAGCTGCTGGAAATTATCCAGCTTTGTCGGAGTGCTAAGGTGGGCTTGTAATTTTTCAACTGAACTGCTGTCGTGTTATGAAAATAATGGATGCACTTTCATGCTTTTCTAGGATTAATTAGGTATAGGTATGCTAATATTTTGCCAGATAGGCAACAGAGAGCCGATGGCTAATTAAATGAACGATAATTTTGGCACAGTGAAGTAGTGCGTACAGATGACATATTTTTTATTTATCAATTACGGGCAGTTGACGGGAGACGGGCGGTGGCTGCGGCCTGTAGCGGCGCCCATGCGTTGTGAAATATCAGCTTATAGACATCATAAGGTATATACGCTAATCTAACTTTTATTTCCGTCAGATGTCATGTCGATTCTTAACAATAAACGACAAACAAACAAACGTGTTTGCAGCATGGGGTAGGCATTGAGCATCACAATGTTTCGTTGCATTTCGCTAAGGTTCGCGGCTGGCGACAACGTCCCGCCGTGTGTCGCTTGCGTTACAAATTTTGCGGGCCCAACATTAGCTTTACCAGAAAAAATCGTTATAATAACCGTCATATTTGTGTAAATTTACCGCCATGAATTTGTGTACGATTACCACGCGAGTGTTCCTTTTGGTACTTTTTACCAAAAACACATATTTGTGCGTAAATGAAACGCGAGATCCGCGATAAAGTTACACTGAAAGCGGTTCTCCTACACAATAGTGAAGCACTCCGAAGCTAGCAAAACACACATATAAGTGTTCTTTTACGCAAAAAACAGAGTAATTTTACACCAAAAAATGTTCCTTTTGGTACTTTCAATTACACCGTTTTTCCGCTCAATATTTCTGTGTGTGCAGACCCCCGTCGGTGCGCGGGTTATGAAAAATACCCCAGTCATGCCTGCGTTAAATATTGATCAAAAATTCAAAAGGGTGGGCATCAGCTTCAAAGCCCGCCAATCAAAAGTGTGTCGAATCTCTCTCTCTCTCTCTCTCTCTCTCTCTCTCTCTCTCTCTCTCTCTCTCTCTCTCTCTCTCTCTCTCTCTCTCTTTCTCTTTCTCTCCACTCACCGCCCTTTCCTGGTGACAATCATCTCGTTGGTCCTCGAGAAGAAGGCCTTCCAGAGCTGCGCGCGCTCCAAGGTGACAGACACACCCTCGCGCAGCCGACAGGACGAGGGCACCTCCACCTGAGGGCAGAGGGGGCACTGTTACACAAAAAAGAAAACATGCAAACACCAAAGCAAACAAACACGAAACAACACACAAGACTGGCAATGGACGGTAGCGGCAAGCACTCATATGCGCCATAGCGGACGCTGTGAAAAGGACACGTGACTTTCAATGGACGGAGGAGCACCCATGCCTAAAGAGAACCAGCGGTCGGCGCAATAGAGGCACCTGACTGTCAATGGACGGAGAGATGCCCGCCTGTGGAGAAGCAACCAGCGGACGCTGCACAATGAAACAGCACAAAGGCAACTGAGACCACACAACCGGTATGATCTTAGAAGCGGCATTCGATCAAATTATCTAGCATTTATGTCTTCTTTTCTTTGACTAGTGGATGTTTCTCGAAATTACAAATAGCTATTCGTTCCAATTTCATCATCTGACAACACCATCCAATTTAAAAACCACAATCGGCAACATCACGCTGCTAGCAGGTGTCCCTACCGGGGAAGTACTTGAGAGTGTCGTAATGGTGCGCTAACGCAGGAGCTAAGCTCATTACAAGCTTCAGTAGCCAAAATTCGGGCCTGCTCCCGTGCCTTGGCTTACTCCGGATAAGCGCAGTTCGTTTACAGCTTAGCACTGACGGGCGTGTGGTATTACATGATTGGCGACTGGGCTTCCTTTATCTTCTCAATATTTTGGCTTAGATTGGTGAGGTACTTCCCGGATTTATAATTTAATCACTTTATTATTATGACAGGGCGTTGAGTGCAAAACGAGTCGTTTCAAAATGATTGAAAAATTCAGTGTTTTTTTAGGACTTGAATGCTTTCGAAACATGAGGAGCTCAGTACTTTGCAAACATGTGTCCATTTTACATAATTTAGACGAATTTTTGGTAGCATTATCCATTCTACCTATAAATTATCTGAAGGCTTTTCACCATGCATCTAGGCGACCGACACGACACGTGGTACGGTGTATTATATGCAAATGCCGATATACCCTGCCAAACCATCGTCCTACAGATTTTCCTGCAAGTGCCAGCCCATGACAGAACTCCAAACAAATAAACATCTGTCCCAAACCATGTGCAGTCTACAAATACCAAAAAGTCTACCAAATATTTGGTGTGTTTGGCAGATGGTCCTGTGCATTGCGGTGTGCACTGCACCGCACAGTCGTTTAAATAGCAGCACAGATGACCATTACCAGCCGGTGACCGACCCATTACCAGCCATGAGGCGGAAAAGTTGTGTCCCCACAGGAAGACAACCGCGACCTCAAGGCACCATCACCCAGACCTCACTAATTTCGCGGCTACCGCGCGCTCAGCTGACTCCATTTAGCCCCTCTATCACACGACGAACATTATCCGGCCTTAATGAACCTCAGTACATCTGATACATTAGGGACAACGAGAACGCGGTCACATGGTGCACCCCCCCCCCCTCCCTCCGCTGACCTGCGACATAGACGGCCCCGTTGCGGTGGGGAGGGGGAGGGAGGGGTTCTCGGGAACGCATGATCCCGAGATAGGGTCAGCGGAACTCCTCCTGAGTAAGAGCACAGAGGAGTTATGAGCAGCGATGACGTCATCGGTGACATCATCAGGGGCTATAGACTCGCCGGAACGGAAGGGGATGGGTAGGATAGGCAATGGAAAGCAACAAGAAGGGACAGTGACGCTTGGTCTATTCATGGCACCCAGCAAGATCATTAGCTTTTTGGTGTGTAGGTAAGTTAGTTGCTCTCATGAAAAATGCTTAAAGAAACCCATTGCAATGTAATAAATTTATTAGTTTTGTTGACGCATATATGAAAGGTACTGCTTCTGCGTTAAGTAGCGCTGCGTTTAAAATAAACCCGAGAAACGTGAAGATCCCTCTGGCGCCCCCGCTGCGACCGATACCCATCGAACCCGATTACGACTCGCTGACGAAGTTTTGTAAATACAATTCGAAAGCTCCGACCCGAACGATTTCTTGTGGAGCAAAATCCTAATTCACTTATTACAAAGGTAGTAAATAACGCTAGCCACCGCCGGGCGCCGGGCCCACCGCAGTCACAGGTATACCGCTACCAGCAGGGCTGCGGAGTCGATGGATTTTCGGCGACTCCGACTCCGACTCCGACTCCGGCTTTAAAAAACCGGCTCCGACTCCGACTCCGACTCCGGGCAGAATTGTCGACTCCGACCGACTCCAACTCCCGACTCCGACTCCGCAGACCTAGCAGGGCTGCGGAGTCGACAGATTTTCGGTGACTCCGACTCCGACTCCGGCTCGGGTTTCTAAAATCGACTCCGACTCCGACTCCGACTCCGGTCACAACTGTCGACTCCGACCGACTCCGACTCCGACTCCGACTCCGACTCCGACTCCGCAGCCCTGGCCACCAGCAGGGCTGCGGAGTCGAAGGGTCTTTCGGCGACTCCGACTCCGACTCCGACTCCGGCTTTAAAAAACCGGCTCCGACTCCGACTCCGACTCCGGGCAGAATTGTCGACTCCGAGCGACTCCAACTCCCGACTCCGACTCCGCAGACCTAGCAGGGCTGCGGAGTCGACTGATTTTCGGTGACTCCGACTCCGACTCCGGCTCGGGTTTCTAAAATCGACTCCGACTCCGACTCCGACTCCGGTCACAACTGTCGACTCCGACCGACTCCGAATCCGACTCCGACTCCGACTCCACAGCCCTGGCCACCAGCCACCAATATACCAACACAATCACCGGTATACCACCACAATCACCGGTACCACAATCACCGGTACCACAATCACCGGTACCACAATAACCGGTACCACAATCACCGGTACCACAATCACCGGTATACCACCAATCACCTGTACCACCACCATCACCGGTAAGTCACCACAATCACCTGTACTGCCACAACCACACCACCGTGTTTGCGCCACAACTACGGGACCGCCAACCCATTGGTGGCATAGACCGTACCCAAGACGTGAACCCTTCTGCGTTCCCGTCAAACCACTGCACTGGTAGTACCGCCAACCACCTGTGGTACTGCTGACTGCTAATCCCGCACAGTTCACAGCTTAGTCCAGCGGTGGTACCGCCGTAACCAAACGTGGTTTTTACCACCAATTCAACAGCGATACTGCCAACCACCGCTGCCACCGCCAAGCTAAGACAATACGGACACACGAGTACCTATTTTCTCTCATTTCTGAACAAAATAACTGTAGGCATCCATTTTCGGAGGCTTTACAAATTATCTCTGCATTGTATATGTGATCGCCTTAGCTTCATTGCTTGGGCCAGGGTTTATTGCGCATGATGTCACATCATAACCAATAATTTGTTTCTTGAAATTAGGCCACAATGGTTTGACATTTGATAGTAAATACTAAATCGGACCATATCCGACTGTGGTCCCAGTGAATGATCATTAAAGATCTGTGCGCCATCAGCAGTACTCACCCTTCTCAGCAGAGGCGCCAGCACCGGCTCCAGGTAAAGGTTCTCATCGGAGAATGCCTGCCGCCGCCGGGGAGCGGTCTCCTCCACCATGGCTGACCTCGTCCAGGTCACTGACCTGACCCAGGTCACCGGGGCTTCACTCAGACTACTACTCCACTCACTACACCACCACGGGAGCCCTGAGCGCGCCTCTCCACAGCGACCCGCCGCACCGTTCGACACGCTTCACGGATGACTGGGAGGATTCCGTGACATCGCATCGTTCAGCGCGGGCGGGGCGGAGCCATCGGCCGTTCAGCCAATCAGAGCACAGGAAGCCCATCGCAGCTCCGCCCACCGCGACGCCGTGCGACTGAGGCGCGCGGCGGTCGCTCGTCAGACTCCGCGGCGCCGAGCCGGCCGGTAGAAAGGGTCGGCTTGGATAGCAGGCTTTGGATAGCTTTGGATAGCAGGCGTCCTGTGATTCAGTTACCAGGACGATTTTTCGTTAGCACTGGCGAATCGAATGTTACGAGGCTGACATCGCTCGTACTCGTACATAGAGTTATTGACGCATTGAACGCTCAAAATCGTGCCTAACTGCCTAGTTATGTCATTACATCACTATGGTATTCTGGGGGTAACCATCAATAGCAAGCGACTTTCGCCGCATAATTGCCGTTTAGTGCTCGTCAATGCTTTGCAGCGAACAAAATGAGTTTGTTAGAGCTGAAGGAAGGTTCGAAATTAGAACATAAACGAAAACAGTATCAGTACCTATGTTTGTTTGCAAGGGAAGCATGAAAAAGAAACAACATTTTACTTGAGGATTATTTGATAATTAGGCAATGGTGTTTTAGAGCGAATAGCGGGGCACTAGCGAATAGTTTGCTCACGCCTTTCGTCATAAATATGTCTTGTGAATGTTTTCCTCCCTTCCTAGTTCCTCCCTTCATCCGTCTCTGTCTCTGTCTCTCTCTCTCTCTCTCTCTCTCTCTCTCTCTCTCTCTCTCTCTCTCTCTCTCTCTCTCTCTCTCTCTCTCTCTCTCTCTCTCTCTCTCTCTCTCTCTCTCTCTCTCTCTCTCTCTCTCTCTCTCTCTCTCTCTCTCTCTCTCTCTCTCTCTCTCTCTCTCTCTCTCTCTCTCTCTCTCTCTCTCTCTCTCTCTCTCTCTCTCTCTCTCTCTCTCTCTCTCTCTCTCTCTCTCTCTCTCTCTCTCTCTCTCTCTCTCTCTCTCTCTCTCTCTCTCTCTCTCTCTCTCTCTCTCTCTCTCTCTCTCTCTCTCTCTCTCTCTCTCTCTCTCTCTCTCTCTCTCTCTCTCTCTCTCTCTCTCTCTCTCTCTCTCTCTCTCTCTCTCTCTCTCTCTCTCTCTCTCTCTCTCTCTCTCTCTCTCTCTCTCTCTCTCTCTCTCTCTCTCTCTCTCTCTCTCTCTCTCTCTCTCTCTCTCTCTCTCTCTCTCTCTCTCTCTCTCTCTCTCTCTCTCTCTCTCTCTCTCTCTGTCCTCCGTTTCCGTTTATCTCAGCTGGCGTGGGAACCTCCTCAATTTCGACTCCTTCAGTAGCCAACGATCATTAGAGGGATTAAAAACGGCTGGGCGTCGTCATTAGACGGGTCAAAAGGGACAAAACGGTCGGGCCTGGTCGTGAACGACCGGTTGAGTGGGTTCGGGGGGGAGGGGCACATCTGGTACTGGTTTGATGCCTGAGGGAAGCGTGGGGGGGATGAAGTGGAGGGATGGCCAAGGAGGGGAGAAGAAGACGTTAGCTGAACCTCTCCCGATGTCTACGTGCTAATGTGAACAAGACAGAAATAATAGATTTTCGATTGAAGTATGCGTACCTATGCGTTGAACCGGAACAACAGTTTGTTTACGCTCTAGGTTCCGCCATGGTCACTTCTTGAAAAAGCAAAATATAGGTGACACCAGACATTAGCCAGAAGGTCACACGCATTATTTTTAGTCAGCACATGGATGACGTATTCCTAAGGAAGAATGGAATACCTAATCCATGGTCAGTTATAGTAGGAAGGCCACAAGTCACAAAACAAACTGCCCTTCAGATATTTAAATTCAAAGAAAGTTCAGTGATAACTATGTAAAAAGTGAAGTTCAATAAAATGTCTGATATAATTTGCAGCAGGCGTATTATGTGACCGGACCGGAACCATTCAAAGATGGGCGAGGCGTAAACTGCGTGGTAGAGGTAGCAAGGCAAACCGATAAATGTGGGGTAAAGGCCATGAACATAGACAACTTCTTTTCAGTTTCGGCAACGGCGGGTTATGTGAGCGTCGTGAGACCCGCTACTGCCACCATGATTTCCTCTCAATCAGTCAACGCGAACTGAACAGACAGGCTTCTTATTTGTTGCATTCTAATTTTTAACGGTCCTACTAGAAACAAATCAATTTGTTTCATGTAATAAAAGCAATATTACAGAGCTTTCAAGAATCAAGCGTTTTGCAGAAGCGTTTATTTTGCATATGGTGCACTAAACATATTTGACGTAAAGAAAAACTGATGTCAAGCTAGAAGTAAGAGCAGCTGATAAAAGCTGCAGATATAACCGTTTGTCGAAGACTTGCCCATCTTCAAATAAAGCCATTAGCCAACCATGTTGACCGCCGAGCCCAGACACTATCAAAGGCACCCAAACTCCAGAGCACACATTTCGTTCGAATATCTCCCATCGGTACACCGGAAATTACCGTTATCCGCCGGCGTGTGAGCCCTTTGAAGTTACCGCCGGCCGCGTGCCGCCCCCCCCCCCCCCCCCACACACTCCAAACCTCCGCCCGACCCCGCAGTGACCAGCGCTGAACAGTCTCACTCTCTCGGATCCTAGCGACCCAGGCTGCGCGAACCGCACCGTTCCCGCGCAATTGACCCCGCGAGCGCGCCGGCGCGCGTCATTTTCCTTTGATGTAGCCGCTACGGGGCGCGTGGCCGGCCCTGTGGAATTAATGTGTTTGACGAAACCCCTTCCGCTTTCTGGGGTCGGTACCGTTGTCCAGATTGGGTGCCATTGTGTCATTTGGGGGGGGGGGGACGTGCCTGTCGAAATGACTGCCAACACTAAACACAACACCCATTGAACAGTGGACACATTGCACGCTTGATATCATTGAGGTCCTTGGAACACAACACTGGTAATTAGGAAGGGGGAGGGGGTGTTTGTTTCCCTTTTCCTTCAGTGGTGAAAACAAGCTGTCGGGGCGGGGGGCCTATATTTTCAGTCTCGATGTGGTTCATACGGCAATGTGTTCCACATGCGGTCTGTCTGGGCGTGGTTCACAGGCAATGTATGTATCCTCCACGCACTGCCTATGTAGCCGTAGGTGTGGTCCTCGGCACAGCCCACAGTCAGTCCCCCCCTTCTCGTCACCCCTCCCCCCTCCCCTTGTCACCGGCAGCTGATCGTTATCCGGCCGTTTCCGATGGTCGTATACACGATCAGTGTCCGTGGCTCAGAGCTGGTTTTCCGTTTTCCGCAGATCAGTGTCCGGTAGATGGGTGCGATAGGCGGAGATAACCTCTGCACTGCGGTCCGCGGATAGCAGAGCCGGCGTGCGGCGGGCCGAAGGGATAGCAGAGCGGGCTCCGGCGAAAGGAGGGGTCACCTGCAGACGATTTCCGTGGTTCATGGGGTGACCAAATCGGCCGGAACAGGACAGACTGGAAGCTCATGACCTGAAGAAGTCATGACCCGCGACCACATGGTCAGGAGACTTCGCAGAGCAAAACAATAGTTTCTGGTGTCTCGTAGTCTGGGACTAACTATTTTGCTCTGGAATGTCGCGATCTGGAGAAGTTCACCTGCGAGGCAGAACCACAAAAGCTATCACAGCATTTACTCATACACCATGCCATATCCTGGGAAACTATCTTCTTAATTCAGAAAAAAAAAACTTAACCTTGTCTTATGCCTAACTGGACATAAGCCCTACATATCTCCCCGAAGTCTGATGTTCGGTCAATCCTTTTTTATGGCGAGTTCAGCCCAGCCGTTCCCCTAGGCTGGAAGATTACACCAAAGGTTGGAAGCACATGTGCACGTAGTGCGTATGGTAGGTATTTATTCCAGGAAGCCCACAAGGAACTAAAGGGTTAAGGTCTGGCGAGACATTGGCCTTCGTGCTGCGTTTTTCATATGACACATGACGAATTCGTTTGAACTTGACTTAGCCATGCGACACTGATTCAGAAACGTCAAGTGGCGCTGTATTTCCGACTGTTCTGCCAGTGTTCATATTAGCGAAGAATGTTTACAGGCGTGCCCACAGCTATCTACATGGATCAGCGCCACAGACAACTCACAAAAACATTGCCCTGACTCTGAGCACCGGGGAAAAGTGTGCATTTTCAGTAGCGTACCGGCGCTGGTTGAGCACTGATCGTTTTATAACCGCTATACGACAGTGCGCAGTTTCCTTCACGAAGGGGAAAATGTCTCTCCCCATCTGCAGTGGGATCTGTGGAGTCTGGGAGGCGCAGAGCTCTCTGTCCCGGCTCTGTATAAAGGCGATACGCGGCGGAAAGAGCAGCAGAGCGCAGAGCTGCCTCACTGGTGTCGGAACAGCTCACCGGCTCTCACAGTGTCTCACACCTCTCACAGCTGAAAACGCCATGAAGATGCTGGTAAGTCGATGCTGCGAATTTTGGGTCAAAATATTGCCATGGTTCTTTTCTTGTAGCTTTGAATAAAATGTAATCGCCTAGAAATTTTGAAATATCACTGCAAAAAAATGTCAAATACACCAGCGAGATTGTACTATGGCTTGTCTTTCTGTTTTGAACAGTTTAACCCTCGCACGACCAGGCCATTTCTCATAACACGAACGACCAGGGGGGGGGGGGGGGTTGTTAAGACCCCCCCCCCTGGCGTTTCGAAACGGAAGGTCGTAGAGCTTAGCGGAAAAAAAACCAACAGATTGCTCTCAACGAGATCTCGCGATTGGTGGTATATTTTTTGGTCCTAGGTCAACATTTGACCTACTTATGACCGGTCAAAGGTCAAAATTTCCGAAAAAAATCAAACTTTTTCAACTTTCCACGGCGATTGCGGCAAAACGGTGGGAGATATCGACTTGAAACCTTCACTTTCGTGTTCCTTGATCAATTCTCTATCGTTTGGTATGTATTTCGTTTCCCTAGCTCTAAAAATGGCGCGTTGGGAGCGCCGGAAGTCGGCAAGGTCACAGTCGGCGGCAGAAATTCGAAAAATCAAAATTTAAATTTTTGAAATCTGATTGTATTTTT